GGAAACCGAAACGGCTTACTGCAAAAGTGACTTTAGGCCTACCTGGGCCTCTTTTTACCTACAGCTCAGGTCGTAACCTACCCTTAGAGACCATCCCAACCTTTACAGATTCTGCACTACATCACAGCAAGCCCTAAACCCTAAACCCTAAACCCTAAACCCTAAACCCTAAACCCTAAAACCCTAAACCCTAAACCCAAAGCCCAAAACCCTAAACCCTAACCCTAAACAATGCAGGCTTCCCGACATCTTCTTGGGTCTCTGGGTGGCCTTTTTGGGTGACAAGAGCCTCCGGGGGTCCGGGAGGTCCAGGGCCGGTGTCGAGCGTACTTTTGGGGCTTAGGGTTTGGGGTTTAGGGTTTAGGGTTTAGGGTGTAGGGCTTAGGGTTTAGGGTTTAGGGTTTAGGAGGTTAGGGGTTAGGGAGGTTTAGGGTTTAAAGCTTAGGGTTTCGGGTGCGCCGGGTGGGAAATGACACAGGGTCTAATACTGCAAGAGTTGGTGCCAAAGAATACCCCACCCCAAAACCCTCAACCAAACTCCTGGGTCTCAAGGCCCTGGGGCTTGTACTTGGAGGTTCAGGGCACTTACAATCCTAACTAAAACTGTACTTATAAGCCCCCGAACTCCCCTAAGTCCCCTAAGTGGGTTATAAGTAGACTCATAACCCTAAACCCTACACTCTAAACCGTAAACCCTAAACTCTTGTTGGGGTTATAAGTAACCATGAACCTCCAAGTAGGCATCTCCCCCCATAAACGCTAACCTCTAAACGCTAAACCCTAAACCCTAAACCCCAAACTCCCATCCCTTGGATCAAGGGTTTAGGGTGTAGGGGTTTAGGGGTTTAGGAGTTCAGGGTCTAGGGTCTAGATTCTAGGGTTTAGGGTTTAGGGTTTAGGGTTTAGGGTGTAAGGTTCAGGGATTTTGGAACTCTCGGCTTAGGATTGAGGGATTAGGCGGTCCTTGTGGAGGAGGCGATTCAAGCATGCATCGCTCTCGCCGCGCAGGCGGATGAATCCTCTTGTCACGGGAGCTTTCTGTTTGGGGTTTAGTGTTTAGGGTTTAAAGTTTAGGGCTTAGGGTTTAGGTTTAGGGTGTTTTCAGGAGGCAAAATGGGTAGTCGTTCAGGCTCCTGTACGAAACTATTTATTCATTTGGGCCTGCCAAGGCGAACGTCTGGAATTCGCCGTTGTAGCGGCCCTCCTCGTCCACCTCAGGCTTTGCAGTTGAGGGATATTTTCGACCGAGGTTCAGGGTTCGGGTTGAGATTTAGGAGATAGCTGGTAGGCGACGGGGGAGTGGGAGACTAATGCGCAGCACATCACAAAGAGGTGTATAACTGTGTGCATATACAAAATAGAAGAAATATACATGTGTATGTTTATGCTCCCCATGGAAGCACACTAGACTTGCTGTGTTTAAGCACTCCCTTGGGTTTTATGAAAACAACAAGCATAGTTCTTAAGGGGACTACATTGCAGGAATCCAGTGTACATGGCGATTCTGCACTCCTACACTTAACTGATGTTGGGACCTCGGAGAAGAAGGCTTCCAGTGTCATGTAGAGGGGCCCAGGGCCCCCAAACTCTAAACCCTAAACCCTAAACCCTCAAAGGGTTCAGGGGGTTGGGGTAGGCCTGGCCCACATTCAGCTGCACGGCCCCGTGCTCCTTCGCAGCGATGAGGCGGTTGGTGGCCTTGTTTAGGGTTCATGGTTTAGGGTTTAGAGTATAGAGTTTAGAGTTTAGGGTTTCGGGTTTCGGGACCCTGATGCCAGTGACAGCCAAGTCGCGGAGCACTTGCGTGGGATGTAAAGATCAACCTCGGATTGAACAATTAGGGCTTAGGGTTCAGGGTTGCGGGGTCACGCGATTCCGTGCTGCGTGTTCATGTGTGTGTTGTCCTGCTTTTTGGGCTGTTCAGGGGATCTCTTTCTGGTGGAGAAACTTCCCGCTAAATCCTAAGTCCCAAGTGCCACTCCGACTAGCCCCACCCCCCAAAAAAAATAAAAAAAGGCAAAGATAGCCCTTGCCTTACCCTCCGGCTACAGGGTTTGGAGGGTTTCGGCGCGGAGAGGTTTAGGGTTTAGGGTTTAGGGTTTAGGGTTCAGGGTTTAGGGCTTTGGTGTTCAGAGCCGAGGACTCCGGGCTTTGGGGCTCAGGGTCTCGAGTCCGGGGCTTTAGGGTTTGGGGTTTAGGGTTTAGGGTTTAGGGTTTATTGCAGAGGCCAGGAAATTTGGGTAGGGCTTTCGGGGCCAGAGGTTTGAGGGTTTAAGGCTGCCCCTTCTGCAATCCCTCTGTAGCCATCTAGCAAGCAGTCTAGGGTTCAGGGGCTCTCAACCCTAGACACCCAACCCTACCCGGAACCCCCAAACCCTAAAAACCCAAACCTCAACACCCTAAACCCTAAACCCCGAACCCTGAACCCGGAACCCTGAACCCTGAACCCTAAACCCGAAACCCTAAACCCAAAACCCCCTCGAACCTGTCCACGAACCTGGGATGGCGAGGTTCCCCATTAACTCCTTAATAATAAGGGCACCCTTTCTCTTGCTATTCAACTATAATAAGAAACCCCTAAACCCTAAAACCCCAAACCCCAAACCCTAAACCCTACACCCTACACCCCAAAGGGTACTACTGGGGAGGCCCTAGGCCCTAGATGGCGATTCGAGTGGCGATCTTCTGGTCCTCGTTCTGCATTGCCTGCGTTCGGGCGGGCGCCCCCCGAAGACTGCCGGAAAGGGTTTAGGGTTCGGGGTTCGGGGTTTAGGGTTTCGGGTTTAGGGTTTAGGGTTTAGGGTTTGGGGTTTGGGGTTTAGGGTTTAGGGCAAGTTTAGGGTTGAGGGGCTTAAGAATTTAGGGGTTAGGGTTTAGGGTTTAGGGTTTAGGGTTTAGGGTTTAGGGTTTAGGGTTTAGGGTTTAGGGGCTTAAGAATTTAGGTGTCTGAAGGCTTAAGAATTTAGGGGTTAGGGTTGAGGAGAGATGCTGGAAAGGTTTGGGGCCGTTCAGGGCTTCAAGTATTGGAGTGCTGTGGCTACTTACAACAGGGTCAAGATTCTTGAAAGAACAAACTTGAACCTTAAACAATTTAGACCCCAAGCCCTAACCCCTAAAACCTAAACCCTAAACCCTATACGCTAAACCCGACACCCTAAACCTAAACCCTAAACCCCAAACCCCAAACCCTAAACCCTAACCTGAACCCTAAACCCCAAACCCTAAACCTACATGTCGTAAGGGGCGACCAGGTGCCGCAAGCAAATGACTGTTTAGGGCACGTGCTGCAGACGCCCCAGTCTACGAGTGCTACCGTGCGGACAGCTACAAATCCCAACCCTAAACCCTAAACCCCCTCAACCCTCAACCCTAGCTTTCCACTTCTAGAAGAACCCGCAGGGGACCTTGTCAAGATCCCAGCGATCAGGAGGCCGCGTGCTTGAAGTGAAACGCTGCAGTTTGCATGGGCATGCAACCTACACAGGTTTCGGGTTTGGGGTTTAGGGCTCAGGGTTAAATAAGGATCACCTTGCATTGCCCTTAGTGCTGACAGAAACCATACAGTATACTTTGCAGGATGAGACACAGCATTGCAAGCAACTCGCGCAGGCTTGACGGACTCTATGGATGCTTGTGGGGGGGGGGGGGGAAGTGAGGCAGCTCTTTGACAGCACTTTTCACACCATGGGAGAGTTGCACCTCCTGCGTCGGCGGTGCTTGTCGCATTGTCCATTAGAGCTCATGCTGCGCTGGGGCACCGTACTATGCCCTCACCGGCCTGTACTGAATGAGCATGTCGTGAACATGTGCGAACTGAAGCATGAGGCACAAAAGCATCCCTAAAACGTCTCCGTGACTCCCAGAAAAGCTTTACAGTGGGAGCATCGCAAACGCAAAACCAAGCTCAGAAGCAGCCAGAGCAGCCGGATGTGTACTGCCAGGACCCCATCGGAACCCACTGGCACCAATTGGCACACCCTGCTCCGTATGGCCCGGCCGGTCCCCCTAACGGCCGCGGCTGTCCAGCACAACCAAGACATGAAGACACGTACTGCCAGGAAGGGCTCGGAACCCACTGGCACCAGCTCGTGCAGGAAGGGCCATAGTACACTGCATTGCCAGAGCCACGGTAGCCGCGGCAATCAGGCACGTACTGCAAGCTTCCCCATGGGATCGTGCTGCACCAGCTAGGGTAGCTGAACAGAGACTTTCCCCTGAGGCTGGTCGGTGCACTCTCCGGCTTGGGCTCCCCGATCGCTTCAGCTTGAGCATGGTGAGCTGCCTCTGTGACATTAGCTGCCGATGCATTCGCAGATGCATTCGAAGATGCATTCGCGGGGGGTGCTGCAATGGCTGCACACATGTAGCAAAGCTCAATGCTCTTCCATGATGGTCCCGGCACCCACAGGCACCAATCGGCACAGCCCTGTGTAGTATGTGTAGTTGGAACTTGGCTGGTGACGGTTCTGTTGCCCTGGCAATCGCTGACGAACTCAAGTGCTCTCATGGGGATCCAGGCACACCAGTCTGAAGCAGGGACGTCCGGCGTGTCCGCAGCAACCGCAGGGGCGAGGACGAGGAACAAGAGAGCGCGGAAAGCCATGCCGAGAAGAGGACAACACAAACACGCCTGTGGGTGATCGAACCGTCTGTAGCTGGCATGAGCGCGGAAATCAAGGAATGAGAGTGGAGAACAATATCAAAATGTTGGTAAGCATAGGTCTAGGTTGCAGCGCAGACGAGTGGGCGGGCGGGAACATTTTGGAGCGGCTCGCAGTGAATGTTCAACATCTTCTAAGAGCCCATACTGTGCTGGGACATTGTGTCCTCGGAGCACGGCAATTGCTGGGGCACTGTACTATGCCCTCAGCGGCCTGTACTGAATGAGCATGTCGTGAACATGTGCGAACTGAAGCATGAGGCACAAAAGCATCCCTAAAACGTCTCCGTGACTCCCAGAAATGCTTTACAGTGGGAGCATGGCAAACGCAAAACCAAGCTCAGAAGCAGCCAGAGCAGCCGGATGTGTACTGCCAGGACCCCATCGGAACCCACTGGCACCAATTGGCACACCCTCCTCCGTATGGCCCGGCCGGTCCCCCTAACGGCCGCGGCTGTCCAGCACAACCAAGACATGAAGACACGTACTGCCAGGAAGGGCTCGGAACCCACTGGCACCAGCTCGTGCAGGAAGGGCCATAGTACACTGCATTGCCAGAGCCACGGTAGCCGCGGCAATCAGGCACGTACTGCAAGCTTCCCCATGGGATCGTGCTGCACCAGCTAGGGTAGCTGAACAGAGACTTTCCCCTGAGGCTGGTCGGTGCACTCTCCGGCTTGGGCTCCCCGATCGCTTCAGCTTGAGCACGGTGAGCTGCCTCTGTGACATTAGCTGCCGATGCATTCGCAGATGCATTCGAAGATGCATTCGCGGGGGGTGCTGCAATGGCTGCACACATGTAGCAAAGCTCAATGCTCTTCCATGATGGTCCCGGCACCCACAGGCACCAATCGGCACAGCCCTGTGTAGCATGTGTAGTTGGAACTTGGCTGGTGGCGGTTCTGTTGCCCTGGCAATCGCTGACGAACTCAAGTGCTCTCATGGGGATCCAGGCACACCAGTCTGAAGCAGGGACGTCCGGCATGTCCGCAGCAACCGCAGGGGCGAGGACGAGGAACAAGAGAGCGCGGAAAGCCATGCCGAGAAGAGGACAACACAAACACGCCTGTGGGTGATCGAACCGTCTTGTGCTCTGCGTCACACGCAACAAGCTCCACCAATTGTGCGAGTTCAGGCCTACCCTACGTACTCCCTAAGGCTCCCTAAGCTTCCCTAAGCTTCTTTAGGCACCTACCCCCCATGAACCCCCCCCCCTCCGCCAGCCCTCATCAGGCAACGCCAGAATTGACCATCCTAGTGCTCCGAGACTTCAGCTGCCACTGGCTGTTTAGGGTTTAGGGTTTAGGGTTTGGGGTTTAGGGTTTAGGGTTTAGGGTTTAGGGTTTAGGGTTTAGGGTTTAGGGATTAGGGATTAGGGTTCAGGGTTTAGGGTTTGCCCTACCATGATACCTAGCCCTTCCCTTGAAAGCCCTAAGCCCTCAACCCTAACCCCGTGAACCTGATCCTTCTAACTTCAGATTTAAACCATCTGAACCCTTGAAAATCCTTGACCCTCTAACCCCGAATCCCAAAACCTTCAACCCTAAATTTTCTGGCCCCTAAACCCTAAACCCTAAACCCTACACCCTAAACCCTATTCCCTAAACCCTAAACCCTAAACCCTAAACCCTAAAGGGGAGACTCGAGCGTCCGGAAAGTCTAAGGGGCCGGCCGGGCCCGCCAATGGGCAAGATCTGATTCTTCTTGGCCTCGCTAGTCGGGTTCGGAGTTTAGGGTTTAGGGTTTACGGTTTAGGGTTTGAGGGTTGAGGGTTTAGGGCTTCGGGTTTAGGATTTCGGGTTTAGGGAATAGGGTTTAGGGTTTGGGGTTTAGGGGTTCCGACAACCTCAGAGTATTTACATTATGGGCAGACTACCTCACAAGACGAATCTAGGCCAACCCCACCTCAGAAGCTCGCTAATCTTGCTATTTCGCGACACCGCCTCCTCCCGCGAGTTTTAGCCCTAAACCCTAAACCCTAAACCCCTGTACAGCTGAATCCTCGACCGGAGGAAGGGCTCTCAAGCTGATCGTATCGAAGCCGCCGAAGCCACCGACAGCCGGATGCAGGGAAGGGCCGGGCAAGGGATTTTGCGGTGGTTAAGGTAGGTTTAGGGGTTTAGGGGTTTAGGGTTTAGGGGTTAAGGACCTTAGGGGTTAAGGGGCTTAGGGTTTAAGGTTTGGGGAGCATTACGAGCGAGAAGGAAGGGGGGGGGGGGGAGCTTTAGGATTCTAACGTTGTAGGGCCTAAACCCACACCCTCTTGCTCCTTTTTCTTTGCACGTAGGAAACTACAAGGAGGGGGCCCCTGACTGTACTAACTATAGTCAAGGGACTTTAACCTACTTTAGGGTCCATATAATCCAATTTAGGGCCCTTCTAACTCTACTTAAAACTTCTACTATTTGCTTAGGAACCCCCAAAAAGCACATAATAATAATAACAATAATAATCATAGTAGTAATCCCCCCTTTTTTTGCACATGTCAGGAAACATTTTTTTTCTTATTTTTTGGGGGGGGGGGGTTCGTAAGCAACTGGTAGACTTGCGGGGCCCCTCCTTGTACCAGTCTGTTCAGGGAGGATGCCACCTAAACCATAATTAAACCCTAAGCCCTAAACCCTAAACCCTATTCAACGAGCTCGCGGCAGGATCCCAGAAGCAGTCCGCCATGAACGAGGCGAGGTCCTGCAGCGGCGCGCCGGACACTTCGCTTAAGGGAAGTGCTTGGGTTTGGGGTTTAGGGTTTGGAGTTTGGGGTTGAGGGTTTAGGGCCTGGGGTTTAGGGGTTTGAAGATGCCCTGGTGGACACCACATCTGTCGGGCAGAAATAGTAGCGTTGCGCAAAGTGACAGTTGACCAAAATCCCACATCCTAAACCCTAAACCCTGACATAGGGGCCTATTCAACTAGAACGGGATTTCAGGGTCGTTGATATTACATTCTGAAAAGATATACCCTCGCAGCTCCAGACCCCAAACGCCTAAATCCTAAACCTATAGACCTCATTAGACCTTATAGACCTTAAGCCCAAAACCCTAACTCCTGAACCCTAAGCCCTGGACTAATCCTCAGGGTTATTGGGCTTTGAGTTCTGAGGGTGTACTTGGAGGTTCATGGGTACTTAGAACCCCAGGTATAGGTCTACTGACAACCTACTTAGGGGACTTAGAGGCTTGTAAGTACAGTTATACTTAAAATCCCAAAACCTTAAACCCTAACCCTAAACCCTAAACCCTGAACCTCCAAGTAGTCGTTGTTCACCAGGTCCTTTGAGCAACTACCATACGGGAAAAAAATACTGTTCCCCTCCTTGGGGATACTAGGAAAATCCTACCTCATATCTCCCCCCCCCCCCCTGCCCAGAGCTTCCTGCTCACTGATCGGCTTGCATCGAACCTGGTATGGGGGTTGGCCCATGCAGGCCTTTGGATTGCTAGGTTTAAGGTTTAGGGTTTAGGGTTTAGGGTTCGAGGGTGGCGGGTGTACTTTTTGGAAGGCACAGGGCGTCTTTAATGGAGACCTTATCTTGGCTTGCCCTAAGTCCTGAGCTAACTCTTACACAGAGCACCTAAACTGAAAACTAAGCACAAAGATCTGAACCCAGCGTCGCCAAATTATCTATAACAGTGATAACAGTTACAGCCCAAAGCCTGAATTTCTCAGGTCCCAAAACATCACCTCGAGTCCTGCCCGGCGCCAACCCTCTATATACATATGTATATATATATATATATATATTTTTTTTTTTAGACCACTAAGCCCTAAAACAACAATGAGCAAAAACACAGCGGGTTTGCGGTTTCGGGCTTAGGTTGTTACCTTGGAGGTTCATGGGTACTTATAACCCACTCATAACTGTACTTAGAAGACCCTCAGGTTACAAGTAAACTTCTTACTCAGGCGCTGAATACCCTAATTAGTCTTAAACAGGCTAACTTTTTGGATTCTCTATAACCAAAAAGGTTAGAGGTTACCTAAGAGTTATAAGTACCCGTGAATCTCCAAGAAGGGACCGGATCCACCTCTGTCCCGTCGCCGAACATGACGTAGGGAGCGCCCCCCTTGACACCCTTCACCTCGGACGTCAATTCTGTTTGTATACTCTAGGAGGCTTGGAACAAGGATTTTTTTTTTTGGGGGGGGGGTTTATTACAGCATAAATACACTGCTACAGGGACCATAAGGGAACATTACTAGTCATTATTCCGACCCCTATGTTCTAGTTGGACTGTAGCTATCCTGCTTAAACTCGTGCTTACAAGTACCCATGAAACTTCGAGTACGTTTAAGGGTAGTTTGGATTTCAGACGGCTTGTATACAGGGGAGACAAAAGCAACTAACCCCTAAACCATAAACCCCAAACCCTAAACCTCGTGAGCTTCCGGAGGGCTTCGAAGGGACCCTGAATCCTGCGCGATGGACTAACGCCTGTACAGCCCGGCCGTTCAGGGTTTAGGGTTTGGTGTTGCGCTTTCGTGTTTGTTTTGTTGGGTCTCCCAAATGTCCTGGAAGCCTAACATGTAAGGTAGCACAACAGTGCTGCCAGAACCTTCGACACACACCCTAGCCCCCTTAAAAACCCAAAACCCTAAAAGGTTGGGATGTTCCACCTTACACGAACAGTGCTTAATAGTGATTGAAAAACAATCCTTATTAAGGACTGCTAGTATAAGGGGGAGCCTCCCAACCCCAAAGGCCCTGAAGTCCGCACTAAAGCCCCAAGAGACACAAGCCTCACATCCTAAAACACACCCCAAAAAACAAACACGGGGCAACCCCCCAAGAACCTAAAACCCAAAAGGCCCAAAAGGCCCAAAACCCTAAAACTCTAAAAGCCTACAACCCCAAACCCGAAGACCCTAAAACCCAAAAACGCCCTGAAAGAGACACGATCCGAAGCCCCACACAATGCCAAGTACTATCCTAAACACTAGGCCCGGACGTAAACTCCAATTCCTTGAGCCCTAAGCCGACCTTAGATGTATCCCAAGCCCTTACCCTAAACCTATACCCCATACCCTAATCCTCAACCTTGCATTTTAACTTCCGGCCTGACCCAGCAGCGACTTGAAGAAGGCTGTCGGTCGCACCTAGCTTCCCCACCAACTGCCATCTCGGGTTTAGGGTTAGGGTTTAGGGCTTTCCGACTGTTCTTCGGCTTCGGGCTTCGGGTTCGGGTTTCGGGTTTAGTTTAGGGCGGTTCGGTTTGGGAACAGGCCGCACAGAAGGAGGTGAGTCCCCCTCCAAAACCCTAAACCCTAAACCCAAAACCCAAAACCCTAATCCCTAAACCCTAAACCCTAAACCCTAAACCCTAAACCCTAAACCCTTGGCATGCTTGGGAGACATTGTCTTTGTTTCAGCTTTCGCCTTGCTAATGTCATCCTCATGAAGATACGCTGGCATCCTGCCAACCCAACAGCCCCAAACCCCAAACCCCAAACCCCAAACCCCAAACCCTAAACCCTAAACCCTAAACCCTAAACCCTAAACCCTAAACCCTAAACCCCAAAACCAAACATCCTGCCAGCTGGGGCTTGGCGAACTTGCAAGGCGATGTTGGGTTTAGGGCTTGGGTTTTTGGGGTTTAGGGTTTCGGGTCTAAGGTTTGGGGTTTGGGGTTTGGGGTTTAGGGTTTTAGGGTAAACACAAAACCCTAAACCCCAAACTCCGAACCCCAAACCCTAAACCATCCTTTTGCTTGGAAGTCTAGGCCCCCCGGGCGATCGAGTAGGTCATCTTCTCGCCCTCTTTGCAGAGATCGGCCTGAGGGCAGGGAGCCCCCGAACTCAGCTCTAAACAGCCCTGAACCGGTTTAGGGTTTAGGGTTTAGGGTGTAGGGTTTAGGGTTTAGGGCCCTAAGCCCCAAACCCTAGAACCTAAACCCTCAACCTATGTTGAAGCTTTCTGGACGCCAGACAAGCTCACCGGACGGTGTTCATTGTTTATCGAACACTGCTAGATGTTGACATCTGACAAGG